ATATATTGTATCTATGATTTCTTATCTATACTACTATATTAAAATTATAGACTCGAATTTGCTATATATTTTGTTCATATATATTTATGATTTCTTATTAGAGAAATTATAAAATAACAAATATATATCTACTTAGTACAAATTACTTTTGTCTTCTCTGATTTGAACACCGTGATTTAGCGTGAATGTAATGCGCACGCGCAAGATTTTAAAATCCAAAAAATCCAGATGATTTCCGGAATTTTTTGAGGCATTTTCGTTGATTATTAATTAGCGAAGCTTAATTGAGAAAAAATAAAAACAAATTGGTAATCTTCAAGTACCAATGATGTTTAAAATATATAAAACAAAAGACAGTACTCTTCCGATTTATCGGTATTAAAGGCCAAAAATTCGAGTCTATTATTTTAATATAGTAGTATAGATATGCTGAGAGTCAGAGACATAGAAATTTATTCCCATTGCCTATATTGTAGGTTGATAAATATGTGTTTGGTCATTGTTTTTTAATTTGCCCATAAGTGGTAATAATTATTATGTATTTCATATTACTGAGTACACTGTAATATTTATATTTAGAATATTTATCTTACATATTAAACCCAAAATGTTAATTAGTCTAAGAAAAAATGAGTAGAAATCTTTTTTTTTGTGATGTTTCTATATATAATATGCATATCTTCCTCACACAAAATCGATGTTATTGATATACTGACCCACCCCTAGTAGGATCAGATATTTTTCTCATATGTGTGGCGGATACTACCCATTAGATAAACCTACTGGTATGCTTTATCAATAGCAATTCCAGTTTTGACACAATCCCTTGCTTCAAGATGTAAATTTATTGAAATTCTTCTTGTGAAAATTCTTGCGTATTATTAAATAAATAATAATGAGCAAAAATGTTCATTAAAAATAAGATGAGATTCATTATATCTCAAAATAGAAATATGTCCATAGGACATGAATGCCCCGCTAAGGGTATATTAGTAATGCAACATGAAAATTTGTATTAGTGTATGAAATTTGATGAGAATAATAGTGTCTTTAAAATTGAAACTAAAAAGTTGGATATAGATGATAAATTCTCGCCAAATTATGTATAAGTGCATAAACTTACATAAATATATCTTATATGGTTTCTTTAAAATTAAGCAAAATGCAAATCTAAGAAAAGTGAGGTCAAGGTCACAGGAAAGTTCAAGGCCAAATGTTTGTGATGCAGATGAATACTTCTCACAACTATGTATCAGCATATTTAAGTTTGATAAAAATATTTTGAATGGTTTATTTAAAACTGAGCTAAACACTAATTTTAAATAAATGAAGTTAAGGTCAAAGGAAAGGTCAAGGTCAAAAAATGTTGATGCAGTTGAAAAGTTTACATCAGTATGTATTAGCATATATAGTTTGATAAAAATATTATGAATGTTTTCTATAAAACTGATTTAAACACAAATTGAGAAAAGTGAGGTCAAGGTAAAAGGAAAGGTCAAGGTAAAAAAATATTGATGCAGTTGAATAGCTTACATCAGTATGTATCAGCATAAGAAGTTTGACACTAATTTAAGAAAAGTGAGGTCAAGGTCAAAGGAATGGTCAAGGTCAAAAAATATTGATGCAGTTTAATACCGGTAGCTCTCATCAGTATGTATTAACATATGAAGTTTGATAACACTGTATTAAATAATATCTTTAAAACTGAGCTAAACACTAATTTAAGAAAAGTGAGGTCAAGGTCAAAGGAAAGGCCAAGGTCAAAAAATATTGATGCAGTTGAAAAGCTCTCATCAGTATGTATCAGCAAATGAAGTTTGATAAAAATATCTTGAATTATTTAATTAAAACTGAGCTAAACACTAATTTAAGAAAAGTGAGGTCAAGGTCAAAGGAATGGTCAAGGTCAAAAAAATGTTGATGCAGCTGAATAGCTTACATCAGTATGTATCAACATATGAAGTTTGATTACACTATCTTGAATGGTATCTTTAAACACTAATTTAAGAAAAGTGAGGTCAAGGTCAAAGGAATGGAATGGTCAAGGTCAAAAAATGTTGATGCAGTTGAATAGCTTACATCAGTATGTATCAACATATGAAGTTTGATTACACTGTCTTGAATGGTATCTTTAAAACTGAGCTAAACACTAATTTAAGAAAAGTGAGGTCAAGGTCAAAGGAATGATCAAGGTCAAAAATGTTGATGCAGTTGAATAGCTTACATCAGTATGTATCAACATATGAAGTTTGTTTACACTATCTTGAATGGTATCTTTAAAACTGAGCTAAACACTAATTTAAGAAAAGTGAGGTCAAGGTCAAATGAAAGGTCAAGGTCAAAAAATGTTGATGCAGTTGAATAGCTTACATCAGTATGTATCAACATATGAAGTTTGATTACACTATCTTGAATGGTATCTTTAAAACTGAGCTAAACACTAATTTAAGAAAAGTGAGGTCAAGGTCAAAGGAAAGGTCAAGGTCAAAAAAATGTTGATGCAGTATAGCTTACATCAGTATGTATCAACATATGAAGTTTGATTAAACTACCTTGAATGGTATCTTTAAAACTGAGCTAAACACTAATCTAAGAAAAGTGAGGTCAAGGTCAAATGAAAGGTCAAGGTCAAATGAAAGGTCAAGGTCAAAAAATATTGATGCAGTTGAATAGCTTTCATCAGTATCTATCAGCATATGAAGTTTGATAAAAATATCTTGGATAGTTTCTTAGAAACTGAGCTTTGAACAGAGCTAAACGCAAAGTGTGACAGACGGAGGGACGGAAGACAGACATGACAAACACTATATTCCCCGGCCATATTCATGGCGCGGCATAACAAATGTCAAATTTTATCAATGTACCCTACTGGCTACTGCAATAATGTATGATAACACCCCCTCTCCCCCACTTCTCAAAATCTTTCTCATAAGTAGCATTAGGTTAGGTCTATCAGTTAAGTTCCTTTGACCATGCAGGAAAGTCTAGCCACTTTCAACACTGTTTTCTTACATTATACTACAAGCATATAACTTACCATACATATACAAGTAGCACTATCGCAGTTCACAGAATCAGAGTAGAATTCATGATTCCTTGTTCCTTATTCTTGTAGTATTACAACTTCCAGTCAAAAGTTTGTGTGAAATAAATCTCCAACAGATACTGTCACATACGTTTTAAAAGATGCAGCAGATATCATTCCAAGAATTCATATTTTGTATCTACAAATAACTTTCTTTTGGCATTTCAATGTCAACAGGGCAACATCATTAATTTACGCATCATCAATTTGGGCAGATATCTACAGGTTTGTTAAAAACTAAAATTGTATGAGATAAATAGATCATCTATAATTATGTGATTTTATATTGGTTTTATCCAACTCAATGAAATGGTATATATTCACTCAACAAGCCTGGCAAAGATACACCATTTCAACAAGTTGGATAAAGCCAATATAAAATCACACAATACAGATATCCTTTACATATTTTCATAATTCAGTTGATAAAAATTAGATTAGTTTTTTTTTTACCATCAAATGTATTCAAACTATCACTGATTTATGTGTATGCAAATGTCGTTCTACTTTGCATATAGGGTTTACAAAAAACTTTTTGGATCTAGTAGTTACACATAAATGTTTTTCACAAGGAATTTTCTACTATTTTAACACTTGTCATTCTAACAGTTAACTTCCTTTCAGATTATTTCATTGCCCTAAAAATATTTCCTAAAGAATAGTTTTTTGGGTTTTATTTATATTTTAGCTACCCACATCTAGTGCATATTCATGTACTCCTTTAAAACTAGAGGTACTGTAAGCACTGAGCTCACAAAATGATATCCCCCCTCCCACTCCCCGTATGAGTATAATGGCAAAGTCCATGATTTGCTATGGGAAACCCCAAATATCTTTCAGATTGAAATGTTAAATAGGAAATGCTCAATGGCACTAATCAGAATTCTCAGGGCTTTCAAATAGATTAGAAACAGGTGGTACTTTTACAAAAAATAGGAGGTACCTGGTGGAAGTGATTTCAATTAAATATGTAATCAAATTTTTCTGTAATGAATATTTTGGCCGGTACAATCATGATTTCAGCCGGGTAAAAGTACCGGGTACCGGCACATTTTGAAAGGCCTGGAATTCTGTGAAAGTCTCATTAAATTTTATTTAGTGATATAAATGTATGAGGAGGTGTTAATAAGAGACGGGTACCCCCAGTATTATAGAAAGAATGGCAGTGTCCATGTTTTGGTATTGGTAACCAGAAATGTCTGTCCGGTTTCATAAATAGGTGCACAACTGCACTATGTAATCATGATTCTGTAAAAGTCTCATTAAATTTATTCAGTGGTATAGGTGGAGTTGTGAAGGAATGGCTACCCCTAAGTGTAATGGAAGTATGGATGGACACCCCATCACTATATACACCCCCCACTTTTCAAGTTGGGGGGGGGGATTATAAAAATGAGCAAGGATGTTGATGCACTCATAAATGTGCAAAGGTAATTTATTGCCTTCATTGAATAATAGTCATGCAATTTTTTTTTTCAAATTCAAGAACTCAATTAATGTAAACAATATTTGATACAAGGTATCACTGTCATTCTCAAGACAAATAAACATCACATTCTCAAGACAAATAAACATACACACCACTGACATGTGTAGTCTGATTCCCCCCTTAAAAATTAAGGCTTTCAAAAGTCTTAAATCCATAACTCCGTAAAAATTCATCAAAATGCAGATTGATCTGCAACTCAACAGACAGACTGGCATACCAAAATACACCTCAATGTCTGCAAGCATGTATTTAAATAAATAAAAAAAAAAGGCCAGAAAACCCAAGTGGGATATACTGACTGACAAAGGGACAGACGGATTAACAGAGAGGAAACATATAGTCACATTTGGATTCCATGGTAGTGGATTAAAAATGCAAAGATAATCTGGTCATTATACATGTATAAACCAGTGTCTTTAATTTCAGCAAGAGTGACTATGTGGATTCCTAGAGGCTTCCATGCAAGTTAACACATGAACCAACCTCAAAATTTTTAATCTCGGATATCAACACAACATCATCGAAAGGGAAACCCTGCATCCAGGTTAGCTTAAAAAACATTTGTTCTGTGTGTATAACACTTGTAACCCCTGACTTCCAGATGTTCAGGACAATCCTTTGTTCTCATTTGAACTACACAAATATTTCCTTAATAATCCAAGTAGCTCAGGTAATAAAATCAGAGATGATTTATATCTCCCTTTCTTTCCTCCTAACACCGAAAAAAAAATCCAGGAAAGAATATTAGGGTACATACAAAGTCAAATATGAATTGTCAACATGTCAAAACCGTAAAACAGAGGAACATTTAGATATAATCGATGTCCATTCAGGTTTACTGTGATATAAACATCCATAAGTTTTGAACAACTTTTCCTTTTAGAAACAATCAAAATATTCTTACTACCCTAACCTCCTAACCTTGCATCCAAGTAGTATTTTTCTGCTTTTTTTTTTTTTGTTTCAATATCATATTGTTTTTAGAAGTATATTGTTAATTCTTAACTGAATATTATTAATTCCCTGTCAGTATTTTGAGAAGCATTTTTCATTTTACAAGATGCACTTGCTCTATCAATCAAATCTCTCCTCACTAGCTCTGCTTCCACTGAGTAAATGTTTTACAAGTGCAAAATATTTGATAAACAGGGAAAGTACAAAACCTTGGAAAAGTTCAGATGTAAACTCGATTCAATTCAGAACAAAAAGACTTGTACAGAGTACATTATAACTAGAAATAATAAAGAATTTTAAATTCTACCTATGAAAAAAATTTCCATACTCAAAACATTCAATTTGGAAACGAAATATCTGGATCTCTTTTCAAAAACTCACCTACAGTCAGTTTGCTTACATCTTAATTTCTGTTTATTCTCTGTGTATAATTAGACCAAATGAAATGAGGACAAACATATATCAATGCATTTTTCACAATGACAAATGCATTAAATTGAAAGACAAACTCCTTATAACAATATACATCAGGTCTTCCTAAATGGCAAAGCCAACAAAACTAGATCACATATATATAAAATGTAACTGTATGTATGTATGTATGTCAAGTGATCAATGTCACAGATAAAATAGTCAAAATGTTCTGATAAAAAGAAATCATCTTTTAAACAAACAAGTATATTATGAAATGATGCATATTATATATTTGAAAAGGATGTTCTTCAGACCCAATCAAATACAATCTCAAGACATTATAATTCCTAACCTTCTATTCCCCAACAGGTTCAAATATTTAATATTAGCATTGAACGAGTGGAAGTGGGTCAAGTGACCTAGCCTGGGATATCCTCTGTGGGGAGGGGAGGGCGGATTCATGTTACATGGCTATCAAACAACAGCTCTCTACACAATGGATAGCCTGGTTAAATACAAATTTCTTTCAAAAGGCCTAATCTGTTTAAATATAATACTTTAAACATTTGAGCAAATCTAAGTAATATTTGTCAATAAGTAAGTAAAACATTTACTTACATTGTTGAAACAATAGCAATTAATCAATGACATTTATAAGCAAAAAATAGATTCCATAAAATATGCAGCCCTTCATTATTTTTACACTTTGTAGACTGTTTTGTTCACCTTGTTTATTTTTCAAGGTGTACTTCAATACCTTTAAATTTCTAGAAACCTTGCCAGGACATTAAAGCTTCTTAAATTTCAGGGAAGTTTTAGCTGGAAATCCTGCCTAGAAAATTTAAAAGGCTACACACATGACTAAGTCTTGAATAAAATGCTTCATGAAATTTTATGAACCCCCTCTTTTTTATGTAGACTTGGATACATAAAAGCTCTATTTATACACAAGATCTCATCAAAATCCATAACTGAATTGTACGTATTGCAAAATAAATCTATATTATGACCCCATCTTATTACCATATGTTCTGAAAATTTAAATAACCAAGAATCTTATTGGCACTATATCTCTTGACCTTGCAGTCATTATTGTTTATGAATATAATTTCTAACATCTTACCGGTTCTCAATATGGTCATCTTTATGATCAGTTTTGATAAACAATTTTAAACAAATCTGCTACCACAAAAATGATAATAAAATCTGCAAACTGGTATAAATATAGCTGACCCTCCTAACCTCACACCATACTGCATACATGATTACTAATAAAAATTAAGACGTGTGTAAACAGATGTTTAAAAGTTACTCCTTAATTAAACTATTGGGGAAGTTCTGCAGCTTGAAATGTATTGCAATTTGATTTTTCATTTTTCACAAAAGTTGTTTTTTTCAATTTTACTTTTTTTTTGTAATTGACTAGTCAGTGCCCTGAGTGGGATAAATATTATAAAGCTTAGTATGCATTTTGTTTTGTTTTTGTTTGTTTTTTTTTAATCAAATTAGATGTACTACACACCCGATCATTTTTATCTTGATTTGATTGAAAAAAAAAATTTGGTACTTTTCACAGGAAAATAAAACAGGAAAGATCAAAAATACTAGTGTCTGCATGCTCAGTCCCAATGGAATTCGTGTCCTGACCCCAAGTCCTAAACTTGATACAGCTATAGTTCTAGTCTATCACTATAATTGGAAAGGAGATGGGCGAACATAGCGTGCAGAAAGCCTATAGCTTCAGAAATATAAAAATAATGTTCAGTTTGTGAATTTAATATTTAGAGTAAAGTTCTCATTATTGAATTTTATGAAATTGTGATAAACAAAACTTTTCTGAGGAAAATTTTCTCGGCAAAATTTATTCTTTTATTAAAAAAAAATTAATGTGGTATTCGTGGGGTTCGAACCCTAGCAATAAAAATCCTGAGTATCATTTTCTTTCGAGACTAGCACGCTAACCACTAGACTACACAAGTCCTGATGAATAGTGGCATTTAAATCATGTTTGTGATATGACTCTTGATTTAATGGACTTCAAGTATTTCCCGAAAAGATGCGAATGTTATGTCATAAAAGTATATTTTTAAGGTATAGTGGGTCATTGCTCCATATTTTTGGTAACCAAAAAATGTATATTTTTATGCAAACTTTGAGGATTAACTTTCAAAAAGGTGGAGCGAAGACCCACTCATATCGAAAAATAGTGTTATAGTATGCGAAAATGACTCTTTTTGCCCGCTTTAGTGTGTGTCTAATATTTCACAGGCAAATAATTTCAATCTTTGAGGGATTTTTGTAAATTGTAGAGATTTTACGTAAAGTATATTTTAATGTTAGACGAAATATCAAGGAAAATTTTGATATAATTGAAATTTAATTTTTCATCTTCATGTTTGTCACACTATAGGCTTATCGCTCGTCATGTTCACCCATCTCCTTTCTGGTTAAATTTCGAGTTCTGAAATCATTCTCAAAATTCTCTAAAACATAAATTTTGTTTAAATGAGATAAAATAGTGATGGGACATCGGTTAATTTTCATAATCGATCATCGGTTACTGTTTCCGATGCGATTTTACCGATTATAATCGGATGTCATAGTTTTATATATAAAAAGCAGACTATTACAATTATTTCATATTATTTCTTTAACATGAATATATAAAATATATATTATATTATTTTCTTTGTTGTTTTGCTTCTTTTACACTTTCTATATATGCACATTTCGGTTCTTAATCACCTCTGCTCCATGCTTGTTGGCTAGTATCAGATGCAGACGCCATTTTCTTTCATTAAGAAGAAATAAATTTTAAACCAGAAATTGATAATTCCGGAATGTATTGTATTAGAAGTATGTTTCTGATGATCGATTATGAAAAATTATAATCGATCATTGGAATCGGTAGCATTTTTTCATTGACAATCGATGTTTTCTGATTATCGGTACAACACTAAGATAAAATAAAGAAGTTTTTAGAAAGATGACTTCATCATACAGACATATGTACTGTCTAACTATATAATACTGGGCTCCATTTTACAAAAGAACTTACGACTAAGACCAAAATGTAATTTTGTGAATAACTTTCTAATTTACATTTATTTTGAAAATGGATTTTATCTTTTAAATAAAGAATTTAAGAAAGATATTTTTAAGCAATCAGTTTTTCACAGAATATTTCATTTTGAAAGATTTTACATTCAACCTAACTTTTTGGTCTTAGTCATAAGTTCTTTCATAAAACATGCCCCTGATATACCTATTATGTCTACATATTTAAGTACCTAAAATAATTAATGTTATAATTTACCTTCCAATGTTGTCCTCTACTTGTATTAAAGATACAATAAACACAGATTAAGCAAACACTATTACTAAATACTTGAAGTATGCAAATCTAACATCCATTCTAAGAAATAAAATATTTACAGATTTTTTTCACTTTTTTGACAAATGTGCATTCAAATGAATAAGTGTTAAAATCAATAAACTGTAATACAGGTACGAATATATATGCTTTTTTTCCTTCAAAAAAAAACCTGAAAGGTACACCAATTCATTATATCTTACAAGCATATCAAATGAACATTCAACTATTGGTAATAAGATCTATAAAATTGTATGATCCTGATTATATTTATGAGAGAAAAAGCTAGAAAGCAGTTGAAATCAATAAATTCTTAGAAAAAAAAGATCATCATATTTTAAGATCAGGCAAATTCAACCCCTTTACAGGGTTCAACACTAACTTTTCTGGGCATGAGTCAAGCCGGACTACTGCTTAGTTACTTTTACTAGTTCACAGTTATTTTCAAAAGGCCATCCAAAGATGCAACATCAATGTTTATTGTACATAGCAAGGACATGTAATTACATTTGGGGTTTTCCAGCAAATGTTGATGAGAATCATGGTTATTCATATTTTACCAGGAATTTTTATTGGTCTGTTCGTACTAATTAACCCAGATTTTATTAGTCTGAATGAAATTGTAAGTGCATTAGTCTGAGACTAACAGTACATGTATGTTGAACCCTGCTTTGTGCCAGTGAACTCCAATGACTTCAAATTTCAAGTTATCTCCCCTGCCAATTTCATATGAAAATAAGCCATTCCTTCTCTAAGAATTTTAAAAACTCTTTCTGAGACTTCTGTGATTCTGAAATTCATATGCTATAATGGTAATTTTTCAGCAGATCTACTCATTTTTTTAAGTGTCCAAGTTGCTTACTGGACCAAATGCAACTGCATTTACCATGTTTATATGTAATAATGCTCATAAAAAAAGAAAAGTAACTGACTTCTGTTTATAATGGATAAATGCATGGATACACCCTGTCCTGCAATAGACAGATCTTTAATAAAATGACTCGATTTGTAATCTTCAATACAAGATCTGGTAGGTGATATACTTAAGGAATCACTGTCTAGTTAGTAGAGTATGCCAGGGCATCAACGATAGTTGGAAACGTGGGATAATTTGCATAATGGGCGAAGCCCGTTATGCATAAATTATCCCACGTTTCTAACTATCGTTGATGCCCTGGCATACTCTACTAACTAGACAGTGATTCCTTATACTTCCATTTCATTTTGAAATAAAAATGTAAATTTAGATTTTAATAATGTAGACTAATAGATTTAAATTACACGAGGCCTCACATGTCAATTTCAATAGTCCCCGCCCACTGATGTCAAACACTAAGACAGCCGCACGAGAATTACATGCATATTAGGCCTCCTTAGAGTCAGACACAAAGACAGCTGCACGAGAATTACATGCATATTAGGCCTTCTTAGCTACTGACCTTTCGCTTGGCAAAATTTGCATTCCCTTAGAATGATCAAGAAATCAACTCTCCTAACTTTCAAAGAGTTATCACAGAGAAAACAAATAGAAATGGAAATATGAAATCAACAACAACAAAATTAGAGGAAATATGCTGTAAGGTAAATGTGCTCACAGGCACAAAATCCATCATATATTGTGCAATATACAGTATCAATCAATTCTCTCTCTTCCCTGTAAGCCAGAACTCATTTTTCAGTTTATACAGGTAGATGAATTAAACTCTTTAGGTCACCTGTTTTCCCTGCTTTGTTGGCTAAAAATCTATGTATTCTATAAATGATACTCAGTAACTCACAGGCGATTAGCATCAATTGAAAGCAACAATTAATAGATTTATATGTTATGTATACAACAAGGAAAAAAAATTACACAATCAATTCTAAATCAAAATAATGCACATTCTGAAACAGAGAGTATCTAATGTGTTTTTATATAGAGATAAAAAAAAACACACACACACACTGATGTCAATGTATAGTGTACAAAAAATTAGAATAATCTTCCATTGTATCCAAGTACAATAAAAGGACCCTATCCCAATAGAAAACTGACTTTTTTCCCCAAAATTAAGCTAAACATTCCCAAATGAGAAGCAGATTGAATTTTTCAGTACTATTTATATTACAAATTCGAAATTGTGGGATAAGGATGAATTATAAGGATGTTATTGGAAATAACCCTACAATATAAGTCTTATTTCTACAGTAGAACATATCATAGGTCATTAATATTTCCAAAGTGTGCCATTTTTTCAATTTAAATTCCCAACTGAAAGGGTACACGACCCTGTACCAAAATATACAGTTAAAGTATATCATTGAGGGAGTTAGCAAGATTCCAGTTCCCCAAGGCCAGGACTATTTCCCGAGGCGAAGCCGAGGGAAATAGTCCTGGCCTTGGGGAACTGGAATCTTGCTAACTCCCGCAATGATATACTTTTAACTGTTTTATTATACCGACACAAACGTAAAATTTAGAGGATTCAGATAACGTGATTTCATAGCAGGGATTAGCTCACTGAACTAACACACAGGGATTAGTCTATTCACATATCATACTGATGTAAATTTAAAATTTAGAGGATTACGGATAACCGGGAATTAGCTTTTGATGCAGGGATTAGCTCACTTGACTAATGCACGGGGATTAGTCCATTCATAACGATTTATAGGGAATTAGTCACATCTAATGATCTAATATTATATAGGGAAAAATCAGTAGAGGTATAATAAAGGGTCAATTAAGCTCTGATCTTACTGACTAAGATTTTAAGAAGGGTCGATTTATGGAATAACAAATAGTAACTTTACTACAATATCAAAATCTCTTCTAATATTTTTTCATCCTTCTGTTTAAAATATATATATCACATTACATCATACACATAATTCAAATGAAGAAAAAGATTTTTGTTTGGAATCATTACCACTGGAATCTGCATATTTTAATGTAAAAAAAAAAAAATAAGCATAATCTTTGTGTTGTCTAGAATATATTTTTTTTTTAAAGTTTTCGTAAGAATAACCTTAAAACATTAAATCTGTTGGACTGTCAGATTTCTTCCATTAGGCCAGCATACACATATGTTTGTCAACAAGCCAGATGTATTAGAATTTTAAAGTATTGTCAACATATGTGCCCTTGACAGTTGAATCACTTTAAGAGTTCAGAAACTAGTCAGCTTCTCCGAAAAGAGCTCATGGATTCGGAATAACTGATTATGAAGTTAAGAAAATATGATTCAGTGATCATGGTAAATGCTGAATGAAGTATGTCGCATGACACACTTTTAAACAACCAAGCATAGTAAATCATATAAAGATATTTTTTAAAAAATAAAGATATTCTTATAACTTATATTCATCTTCAGACAATTTCCTTTTCTATGTCAACTCCATCTACCCGATCAATGTGAAGGTCATGTCGTGATAAGTTTATTATCGTGAAAAAAAATGGAATCACTGCTGAGTTCATATATTAGATAAAAATAACAATGCTCCTTTCACAAATATATACTTTAACCAAATAAATTAAAGTGATACCTTTGGTTTTCATTCTTCTCTGGACAGTTGTAGAAACTTCTCAAAGTTTTGTCACAAGTTCCACCCGATAAGTTTTGCCCCATGAACCTTTTCTGATCACCTTATACAGAAGAGTTCCACTGTTTACCTTTTCTAGGCAAATGTAATGTTTACTTAGATACACAGTCTTTAAAATTCAGGGCCTTATCAGGTTGTAGTTGATTTCCTCCGATTTGAACGCTGAAAACAGTAAAATGGAAATCGGAATTCACAGTTGCTATTCTGTTATAGTTACAGCCTACGTTTAGGCCCTGGCCTCTGTGTGATCACTCAACCACTGATCAAACTCACAGGCGCAGATCTGAAGTGCAGAGAAAATATTCTTTATTGTTTGTGATTTTGAGTATACCATTAAACACTCCTGGAATTCATTAACTGTACATTTTACAGTAGATCCTTGGTTTTTGTTAGTTTTTTTTTTTTTTTTTTTTTTTTTTTTTTAAAAATTCGCATCACGTAAAATTAACGTTATGAAAGTTATGCATTGAGAATCCTTGATAGTGAATGAACAAATTTATCCATTTATTCAGTTCATTTCAACATAGAGTACACGACCTACAATATTTCCAGGAAAAATTATCAAAGACAATGAAGTATTAGTGAACCGAGTCACTGTTTACTACATTTGGGAAAATTTATGCAAATAATTTATCCAGTTACTTTGATTTGGTCTAATATAATTTTCAGAATTTAATACATTACAAATTATGTCATAAATCTAAGTTAGATTTCTGATTATTCTATCTTGCATCAAATTAGGGCAGACCAATCAGAACTCTTCACTGTTCATGCAGTGTTTAGAGCAGGGACTGCGTAGAGAGTACTTTAATTGTTAGTCAGAGCTTACAATTTATTAAGTCCGTCTACCTCAAGGAAAACCCTGCACATGAGGATTTTTGACAGGTCTGGCTATTCCTTTCACTTCGTTCCTGAACTTGAATTATCAACGCTTAAGGATTGCGTGATCCATCGAATGCACTTTTAAAAAAAAATACCTTGACTTTTATTACATGTATATCCTTGTATGAATTGTTAATTAAATTACAAAACATATATATACATTATTGCATTTTAACCAATCCATTTACAGTGTATCTGTTTATGTTACATAAATTAATGTTCGAATATTTGCTATTAAAGTCTTTTTTTAAGTTGTTATTAAAAATAAACAAAATAAAAATAAAAACAGAATAGAAAAGATTGCACTCATTTGATTTTGTTTGAGAAAAAATCCAGTTTTTGGTGCAATAAAATACTGGTATATCCAATGGATAAAAAAAAAAAATCAAAATTCACAGGACTTGAATAATCATTTTAACTGTAATCGCTTTCTGCCTTTGTAATGGCTCTTCAGACAGTTACAAAACATTTATGTTTTTCCCCTTCTCTCACATCCTTGCTTATATAATATCACCTTCCTGTCCATTTCTTTTCCATCTTCATTTTATTTTACACTGCACCCCTTCCCTCATGTGTTTGGAAGAAGGTAGAGGGTTAATTAAGCCTCCATCACCGCAATGTCTATAGAGATTTTGAAGATTTTGGACATTTAAAACTTGTCACATATTTCAAAGTAGAGCAGATAAAGCCTTTTATACCGAATTCAAATTTTGAAATTTTTCTTTCCAGATTCCATGAACGTGTGGACATGTTTGCAAACTTCCTACTGGTCCTGTTTTCGAAGAATTTTGATTTGTCAACTTGTAGCTCGATTTCGTTATATCTTTTTAAAATGACGATTTAAATTTACCGCCATAGTATATGATATGCTGTTATTCTGTCTTGCAAATTTTTTTTGAGTTTTATTTTATAAGATATTCCGCTTTATTAAATATTCGCTTTATTATTTCTTTTTAGGTTCAACTTTTGAACATTTACATTGTTAATATTTGCTATGTTGTATTTACAATTTTATATTTATGTTGTTTGAGACCATAAAGAACCATAATTCTGTTGTTTATAATGTATTTACAACTTTCATTTGTACATTAATTTTTAATAAATTGAGAGAAATAACTTTAATCTCCCTAAATTCTATATTGGTATTCCAGGACACTCCGTAGCAAATGTAAGTTTACGCTACTTACATGTATCTATACATAGTAAGTTTAATAACCATTCCGGAATTTTTTTCCCCTAGATGCTTGAAGGATTTTTTGTTTTTGTTTGTTTGTTTGTTTGTTTGTTTTTTTTTGTTTTTTTTGTTTTTTTGTTTTTTGTTTTGTTTTGTTTTGTTTTTGGTTGTTTTAAGGACCCTTTTTACAAGAAAACAAAATACATTTTGGACATTGAGAAAATTAAATTGTATGAAGGTGGATATATTGAGCTCATCTATTTCATTTTTATCATAGAATACTGTGAAATCATATTGGGGATGGGGGGTCGTTGTTTTGAAGGCATGAAGTGCCATGAAGTCAGGACCTCTATGAAATGTAAAATTTCAAATAAATAACACTAAGCACTTCTTCTTCACGAAATCAGATCCCCACTAACCAATATTTTTTTCCCCTCAAACCACAAAAAATTTACGCCGCGAAAATATTTTACTGTACCTGGCTTTTAACCCCAGGAATAAGAGAAGATAATGGGATATTGATGAAAAGAAATCACTGTTATTTACTTATGTGTTGAAATTACATGAAAATAAAGTGTTCAAATTAATTTATCTTGGCCTATTAAAGTGTCCACAATGCTTGAATTGATAAAAAAAAATGACTAAAACACTGTATATTTCAATTTCTTTTATTCTAGATCTAGGGACTCCAACTGCTTAAAAACTTCACAGAATCAGAACTCTTTGGTGTGCAGTGTAGATAGGATTCTTAAATAGCTTTCCAAAACAAAACAAAATTACAGGAAAAAAATCACTAATGTGTTACTTAGCAAATCTTTAAAAAAAAAAAAAACTAAATTATAAAATAATAATCGAAGTTACAAAATAAAAAAAGAAATTATAAATTTAAAAAAAAGAATTAACACGAACAGCAAATTCAATAAAAATAGAAAAATAATAATAAAAAAAAAACAAAACACAAGATTATGAAATTAAAAAAAAAAAAAGAAAACTACGTAAAAACGAAATAAAATACAGAATATTAAAAAAAAAAGTTTTGTAAGGACGTGAACACATCAGTCATTTCACAAAGTACACGTATATATGAACATGGTTTCAGCCAGGACAGCATATCTTAAGGTCCATGTTATTCACGGAGAAAAAATATTTTTAACAAGGAAAGTTTCATACAAGAGTGTGGGTTGTTTGGTAATAACTACTGAGTATATCCAACATATAAATACAAATTTCAGAATTTAGCAATTAAAATATGTAGTTCAGATGTACATACACCTGCAGTTAGTGCATCAATTATCTTTAAATTTGATAGAATGACCCAGGGCAATTAAAAATGTATTGTTTTTATCCACCTGAACCAAACAATCATTATAGCTTAAAATTCCTCAACGTTAACATTCTGACTTGTTCATCTTTAAGGAAGCTCTAAACACTGCACACTAAAGAGTTCTACTTGTAGGGTAGTTTTATGCAGTAAGAGTGATCTGCCCTTAGAAGTAAGATAGAAAAAATGGTTATTTACTGTTAATTACACAATTTATAATAGATTAAAATATTCTTAGCATTATATTAGAACAAGAATAAGTAATTAAATTTATTATTTCCATTGATTTTCCCACTGTAAGTAAACAACAGTGATTTCTGTTCATGAATAGTCCATTGTCTTTGAACATTTTTTCCTGCGGAAATGAGGCAGGTACCCTTATGGTGAAAATGAATTAAATAGTCTCAATATACACACCTTTATATGATATAATTCTCTCCGAGCCCAAAAAGCACTTTTTGTTAGTGTTTAAAGCTTCCTTAATACGTTTTGATAATGTCAAACAAACACGCAAAACCCGATCAGTAAAGTGTCATTTTATAGCATTACTGTGTTGTGTGATAAGTTGAAAGATGATGTATGGCATATATGGGAATTTTCTAAATCTCGCAACGTCCATTAGTTGTAAAAAACGGAATAGTAAGAAACAAACATATTTAAATCTTAGTAAACCCTCTAATGAAGCATTTGGTCAATTTACTAGCATTAATCTCTTTGATGTTTCATGTCCAGATACATGTACATGATATATATATATATATATATATATATATATATATATATATATATATATATATATATATATATATATATATATATATATATATATATATATATATATATATATATATATTAAACAAATATAAAAAGAAAACACAAGAATTCTCCGTAAAGCTTTAGCGCTTTCATTAAAAATCTTCAGAAGCTTTACATTACAAAAATGTATACAACGGTAACATAGTAACAATGATTATGACGTTAAACTAAGCGGAACGTTTAATGTCTATATTGTGACGTCATAGATAAAATACTGCAATGATGATGAAAAAGTTCGGGAAAATCATAGGTAGTTTATAAGAGACTATTAAGTTTTGGCTTTAGAATACAAATAAAATGTTTTTCTTTTTCCCGTCTCTGGATATCACTGGCATATCTGAGTTTATAAAAAGGGAAAATGTTAAATCGTTTTTTTCACAAGTTTCCAGGTGTGCACTTAACTGGATTTGTCTATATTCAGGTGTACTGATGTGTTGCTTATGTACACGGGCACGGAGACTGTTGCCAGTTTCACCAATATAATATTCTTTGCATCCAGAACATATGATGGCGTATATGACATCTTTCGTATCACATGACATGTTGGCATTAACTTTAAATTCACGCCCGTTAAAACTATAACTCGTCCCTTCTGTAATGTAGTCACATGTGCCGCAGCGAGGGTCCGTACACTTTGACACTGTATAATTATGGTCAGCGAATTGGGAGGAACAAAGTATTCTCTTAAGGTTTTTAGGCTGACGTTTACTGCTGATAAAACGACAGTTTTTGTATGTAGTTTTCGTTTGTTCATCCTCTCTAAGTAAGCTATTTAATTCATAAACAATTGAATTGATGTTTTTATTTCTCGGACACAATATAGACATTAAACGTTCCGCTTAGTTTAACGTCATAATCATTGTTACTATGTTACCGTTGTATACATTTTTGTAATGTAAAGCTTCTGAAGATTTTTAATGAAAGCGCTAAAGCTTTACGGAGAATTCTTGTGTTTTCTTTTTATATTTGTTTAATATTGTAATCCGATTACTGAGACTTTATTTCAATTTTGGATATACCCATCCAGTGATCGAGATGGAAACACAAAATTCTACAAATAAGGAGAAAGAAAAAGGACTTGACAAAGACATGTTATTAGCGGAACTTTTAAAGAAAACAGATGTAACAAATCAACTACTGAAAGATTTAATTGAGGTTTGTAGTAATTTACTACCTAATAATCAGTTTACTTCAAATTTGGATTTAAACCACTTAATGGATGAAGAGGAAACAAATTTGAAAACAGCGTCAACACAAAATGTTGAGATGACCTCATATCAGTCTCCTACGCAATTAATTCAAAGGGAAGTTAATGAGCTCGCTTTACAAAAAGAAGCCATGAGAATTAAACAAAGGATCAAGGTCACTTGGACGCAAACTCTCAACTCCAGGAAACAAACATACTATAAACAAATAGGTAATGCCAACCGCGCAGAATATTACGAAAAATGGGTAAGTCTAGAAAATCCCGTAATCCCGAGGAAATTTAGAATTAAGCCAATACGGGGAGAACCGGTTGAACAAACAAATGTTAGAGTTGAGACAGCTAAGAGTCGTGTGATGGGAGAAATTCAGTTACTAAGAATGAGGGCAGAAAACAACCAAAAAAGAGTTCTGTCGATCGACCTAGAAATGGATCGCTTACTGAAAACTAAGGCATATGGCAGAGTATTAGAAATACTACAAGATACGTGGAGATCTGATTGCCTTAAGGAGGAACAAACTTCATACAACAGATGGAGATATACGGAAGCCTGGCTTTTGGATTATGAAAAAAATTATGGTAAAGAAGTTATTAAACAAAATACACCAAGACCACAGTCATTGCATAAAAGACAAACTTCTAGGAAAAGTTACGCGTCCGCCGTAAGAACCAGTTCTGCAAATAATCCTACAGTTACAGGGGATTTCCCTACGGAAAATGCGCCTGAACCATCGTTTTCTAAAGGAATAAAATCATTTTCGGGAAAACGAAAAACCGCAAATAAGAATCAATACGAGAATTCTGAATCCAGAAGTAAATCTTCTCGTAGTGCTTTTCCACAAAGTCAACAGATTCCTAAGTACCACAAAGGCATAAAAAGACGGAATCAGGGCAATAACAGACAAAATGAAAATTACCGAGGATACGTTAGAAGTAGGGGTCCACCAAACTTTTACAGAAACGAAAGAACTACGTATATTGGAAGAGGGGTACGCAATTATTTTTTAGGAGGAGGCAAAATGAACCAAGGCCAAAGATACAAGAACCAATTACCACAATTGTTAACAACAACAATTCCAGGGATGCACCCAGGAATGTAATTAAAATAGAACCAAAAGTATTTAATCTTTCCGACAGACATCTGACGGATTCCGAAATCAAATTACTGTCTAAGGGTCTTAAATACACCCCTACACCTCATGTAAATAATCAAGAGCTTAAAACGGATATTAAAGCCTATACTCGACGACTCAGGCTATATGAATATTTTCATGAAAGTGATACCAATGAATCTGATTCCGAGTCTCAAGAAGCAGAACAAATAGACCTGGTAAGAAACAAATCTAAGTTTAATCCAAAACGAGGAAGAAATCGAACTTTGGATGCCGTTTGCGACACATTAGAAAATATTCATTTTGCAAACAAACCCAGAAATATCAAACCCAACCTTTCTAAAGAAGAGGAAAAAGCTCTTAAAAGCCTATGCGATGACCCTACTATCATTATTAAAGAGGCTGATAAAGGAGGTGGAGTTGTGTTAATGAATAAGGATTTTTACAAAAATAAAATCTTACAAATGTTACAAGACAACAACTTTTATGAAAGACTGCACAATTGTCATGAGAAGAAAACAATTACTAAAATAAAAAAGCTGGTATATGGACCACTATCGGAAGGTTTAACAGATAAAGAACAGGACTATCTGACAAACTTTGAATTCCGAGAGAGCCAATTCTATGGTTTACCTAAAGTTCACAAGTCTAAAATTATTAAG